AGGAGGGAGCTGGGTGAATAGCAGGACATCATAGTTCAGGAGAGCAGGCTGTGACTTTAGGGATCTGCTTGCAAGAGTCCCATGAGATATGGCCGTAGAGAGAGCTGGTTATTTTTAAGGATGTGTAATGTGACACACATTACATGTTCTCACATTAAAAGTTATGCTTCATATGAGGAAGGAAGCAAAGAAGGACAGACAGTTGTAGTAAAAGGGAGTACACCATGATGTGAGTTGTGTGTGCTGCTGTTACAGTCATTCTTGACTGCATGGAATTCATTTCTCAGTCACCAAAAAAGTATATAGAATCCTCCTCCAGGCTGTCACTTTGAGGCAGTGGGTCTCGCCTTGATGTGTTATTTTCAAGGAATGCAGACGAAATTCACCATCATCAGACTCATTCATGTTCAGTGCAGTAACATGGTTTTTGACAAATATAATGCATTTTCATTGTCAGACTGAAAGGCTGATATAAAAATGTGTAGAAGTACTATGAAAGACTTTTCAGCTTGAAGGAATGGATGCTACAGTGCTTTGTGTTATCTTTTGGAAGCAGAATTGACAGGTTTATACAGGATTGCCAATACAGGAGTACAGGAGAATTCATAAGGCTTTTCTATAAAATTGGGAGTAGATAGATAAAAGTAGATTGATCTGCTATTTGTCAGATAATCATGAAAACTTACCTACTTAAAAATTTCAAAGTATTTGAGTGGTTTAATACTAAGAGGCAGAGCTCACTGTGATTTCCTCTTCCTTTGTCTCTTTCCTGCAAACTGCAGAATAGCACAGGTGAAAAGGGATGTGTTTGGTGGGGTAAAACATGCACACATCATTTATCAAGCAGGCTTGACCAAAGTATGGCAAATACTGCCTGTTGTTAAGAATTATAATCACTGTATTTGCCTTACTTACATTTTCATTTCAAAATTCCTTTTGGCAAAATAGTACAAATTTGCAAAACTTTGACCATTATTGGAATATTTTTTTCCTGCTTTGATACATTCATGTTTCCATTATGTTATTTAATTATCTTCAAAGCTGCTTTTAAAAATTAATGCTTTAAATTTTAAAAATTAATGCTCTAATTTCAAGAAACGTTCAATGGTGAACATGGTTGAAGGTGTTCTTACCCACAAGAGGGGGTTAGAACTAGATGATCTTCAAGGTACCCTTCCAACCCAAACCATTCTGTGATTCTGTGAAGTGTTCCCTACCTGTGTCACTACATTGGTATAATTATTAGGAGGCTCTTGCTTGCAGTATTTGCCATTGGTTAGGCTGTGGTTAGTTAGTGCATTGACTAAAAAAATATAACGCAGTCAATATTGATTATTTGCCATATGTTAGAGACTGAGAACCAGATGCTGTGGCTTGATGATGCAGATTCTAACTGCTGTGGGGTATGAACAGCATTTTTTTATTGTACCATAAATCTGTGGAACTCTTAAGTGACAAATACCTTGCTTTTGGAGATGAGAATGGAGTTATGCTAAAAGCAATGAATACAGTTTTACAGAAGAATTTGGCTAGCCCTCTTCAGGTGATAACTTTCAACACTTGCAGATTACTTGCTGGCTTCAAATAGGTACCTAGTCCCAAAGCTGGGAATTGTACCAAGGTGTTTCAGCATGTTTGAATTCAGAGAGGCTTGATGATTCTGATTATCACAGTTTTCTGGCCTAAATACTGTCACTGCTCTAAATAAATAGAAGGTTTTGAAGGGCAGTCAGATTTTACAACATGATGAAATACTATTGCAAAGTGCAATCTTGTTTCTGCAGTTCCTGTCTAAATGCACCCACATACTTGGGTATATAGAGCTCTGCAAAAGAGAAAAGTGTAACAAAACTTAAGTTATTCAGCAGTACTGAAGGGTTTTTCTCCCTCTAGGAGTGAAGTCTGTTTACACAACTGCTTTATCTGTAAACATGACAGCAAGAACAAGTGCTATGGCTGACTGTGTCAGATCAAGCTTGTATGGATTGGTGGGTCCACTCATTGTACTGAGAAAAATAAGCTGAGAACTGGCAGCTTGCCCTTTTTGCTGTAAATCAATTGTGGTATTTAAATGAGAGGAGAGAAAGAAATAAGTTGTTCCCTTGAAATTTTAGTTTCAGGGAAGTCTAAACTTACCTATATTGAAAGCACCATGATACAACTGGAGACTGTAAAGCTGTACTGCCAGCCTTAGTGGTCCACACAGACTTTACAGCTAAACTCTTAACTTCAAGACCAGAAAGTATAGGCAACTATATTGTAACCATACTCAGAAGGAACATGTGCAATGACTTGTGTAGGTATAAACCCAGTGATTTGGAAGTAGCTGGAGGAAGAAGAGCCCTGACAGGGGCAGTTTACAAACATGAATTATAAGATTATTGTAGTCCCGCTAATAAGCTTCCAATCTGGTTAGGTCAGATACCCAGCATCATACTAGGTTGTACACTGTGTTTTTGTTTGAGACTTGGTCTCAGGGAGGCACTAGAATAGGATGTAAAGCTCTGTATCATAGTTCTGGCATCACTTCCACTAAATACCACTTCTGTGGTATTTGCATAACAATTTTTATCATACTTATCTTTTCTCTATATGTGTTTTGATTAGATAAGCAGTAATAATTATTTCAGCCCTTCTCCAAGTTAACTACATTCATGTTTAATACAAGCATCTAAACCACTGGTAGTTAAAGTTGTATTAAACAATACAGTAGTATTAAAGTTGGTAAAAAGGAAAAGAATTGTAGCTGCTGGATCTTGGGTTTTTCTGTGGCTATATAACCAAAATTATTTTAAAAAGAAGTCTTGCATTGATGCTAAATTTACAGACTGAAGAAAATTGCCATGAAACCATCTTGCTACCAATTTCTATTCTCAGACCATTTTGTCAAGCATATCCTCCTCCTGTTTCCTAATTGGTGTTCCATTTTTTTTTTTTTTTTTTTAACCTCCTCCCCACGGTGCATCCCAAATTAAAAACCATTTAGGTTAACTTCTTTCAGGAAAATAATTGCAGTAGATATTGCACATTAATGTCTTTTAAAAAAATAAACAAAACAAAGCCAAAACTAACTCAATTGCAACTTTCAGAATTTTACTCCCATGTCTTACTTTTAAGTTATCAGATTTCATGTGAATAACATTGCTAACCCTTCTGTAACGGAAGACTTCTGGACTCCTAGAAAGAAATGTTAGGGTTTTGTGGTTTTTGTTTGTTTGGTGTTGGGGTTTTTATAACTTTAAAAATGGGGAAATCACAGAGGAATTAAGTAGCTGAAGGGGTGAGTGTGCAAATATGAAGGACACTTGGCTTCCCATTTTCAACAAAACTTCAGGAACTTTAATTTTTTTTTAAATTACTTCCTTATGTGGTTTTGGTCAGTGATTTGTGTTACACAGGAGCTGTTGGCAGTAGAAATAGCTCTGGGCAGATGTGATTACCTGCCAGCAACAGAGGAGAGTGGGAATGCTGTAAGGAAATCCAGCTCTGTAACTGTAGCTGCACTAAGTGGTAATTGGCATTCCATGTGCTTAGGTATGCTGTATGTAAATTTTGCTCATTCAGGTGAGCAGCTATCAAGTCTGCTTCTTTTAAGGTGGAGTTTAAACAGCAGCTCAAATTCTGGAATTCAGTGAACACAGAAGAAAACAGCAAGACATGAAGCTTCTTTTACTAGGGAAGCTCTTTGAAAGAATTCTCTGACAAATTCCTAATCATATACTGTATACCTTATGTCAAGATCCCTAATTCTGATTTGTTTCAGCTAATTTATTGAAGACACAAACAGCGTCGCTTCATATTTTTGGGAAATGCTTCTCACTTGTTTTTGCAAAGCTGAGGGTTACATCAGAATGATGTTATAAAAAGAAGTTGAACTCTTTAGCAAAAGTGAGTTTGCTCACTTAGAGTGATGTAGTTTATCATCATTAAGAGTGGTAGGGACTCTGAAGAATGAAGTTATGAAATAAAGAAATCTATGGGTATCTTGTATTTTTGAGTGGAGTAATTGAGAAAAGGTTACAGCCATTGCTGCTTACCCTTCAGATCAGTGGTGAGGGCAGGTTCCCAGCCATCTAAGCTATGTACCAGTGTTCAGGTGCTCAGGCTTGTGGGTTTATGAAAACAGACCTATGGAAAAATTTTTGGACATAATTTTTTAAAATAGAGTTTGAAAAAATAATAGAGTAAAAAAATGGAGTAAAAAAAAATAAGTTCCTAGTAAATCTTCATAGCATTCAAGTATAATTCAAATTCAAGAATAGAAAAAAACCAAGATTTATCTGTATGTTTTGCATTTTTCCTACTTCTCTTACTTGTGTACATCTAAATGCACAGATATTTAGATGGCACAAAAGGAAGCTTGATTATGACTTTCATTTGTAAAACTTGGTTACTGTCAGTGCAGTGTTGCTGTGCTGTGGTAAGGACAGGCTTATTCATGTCTACATGGAAAAGGGATATAAATTACTTAAAGGTATGAGCTAAATGTTTTAAACTGTACTTTTCATGTGATTTTTAAAATGCATTCTTAAAATGCATTGTGTTCCATAGTATGTTCATACAACTAATACATTGTATGCAGTTATATACTGGGAGTGAATTTGCTTTAAATAATTGAAAAAATCAGAAATAGACAAAAATTGCTAATTGGTAATAAAGATCTTACTCAGTTTTAATCTTTGCATTTGGGCAAAAATAGTTTTCAGTGGGAACTATGGCTGCCTGAATCTCTCTGTTTGCTTTGAAGTATTTAATTAAATTATTCATTTTTTAGGACTGGTCATGCACTTAAGTTAGCAAGTATGTATGTTTAGATGGAAAACAGTTTTCCACTGGGAAACCAGAAACAAAAGCTGACCAAATCATTGAACACTGCTGTGTTGATGACTCTGTTAGTTTAAGATGCTGCTTTGCCGAAAATACAAGTCAGTTCAAAGTGGTTTTATTTTAATGTGGTGTAAATAGAGACAGTTGTATTGTCTGCAATAGTCAGATTGAGTATGGAGAAAGCTACTAGTAAGTCTCAAACAGAATCCAAATTTACTGCCTCTTTCTTGATGTGTACGTGATATAAAAATATCCCTGTATTCCTCTGGTGTAGTACTAGATATAATAGATGCCTTCTGCTGGGAAACCCTGGAGTTTTTCGTCTCTGCCACAGTTCTGTTGCATAATGCATATATGAATTCTGTTGCATATGCATTATGAATATATTTGCTTGCATAGGCCTTGATACTTCAACTTGTTGGTCTTTTGTCTGGTTCTGTGGATCTGCTGTATGTCAAATATGTTGTTTACATTTTTTTTACCAATGCTTGAATAGCAACATCAGAAATACTTCTGCAAACCATCAGTAATAATCTGAACTAAATATATACTAAAAATAGCATTCCAGAATGTTTTCATATGAGAAAGTGGTGTCACTTTTCTGTATTTGACACTAAATTTGATCTCTTCCAAAGACACAGAAATACCCACTAAATAGCTTTATTCTTGGTGTGTATTTGAGCAGTCATTGGAACTCACAGGGGATTTTTTTATTTGTATATTGATATGCATCCTTTTCAGGGAGTGGAATTACGTATTTTAAATAAACAGAATTGCTGGTGATGTGTTGCTGGGCCTGACAACTTCCAAAAGTGCATAAGGACTTAAGTATATTTTTGCCTTTCTCATCTGTATAGTCTCTGCACAAGTCAAAGGATGTATACTTTTACAGTAACAACTCTTATTATGGCTAAATGTATATGAGGTTAGCATTTATGAAATAATGTTTTGTTATTGATTTAATCAAATTTTCTTAAAGTAGTATGTTGGTTTTTTTAAGGTGAGGTTACAGTGCAAACTGGAGACCTGTTGCCATGTAAGATTTGTGGAAGAACTTTCTTTCCAGCAGCGCTGGTAAGTGGTGTGAGCTTTTAGATTTGCTTTTAGATTTGATAAGTTGATAAGCAAGTTAAACAGTGCTCAATATAGCTAAATAAAATAGATCTAGGTGCTTTGTTTTGGTAGGGGTTTTGGTTTTGGTTTTTTTCCCTCCCCCAGTTACTGATTCCAGTTGTCTCAGGTTTGAAGCTCCTTAGAAGGGATCTAATTTTATTTTAAGATCCCATGATTTTCTGAAATACATGCCTCTAAAAGCATCTTTTCTAGGTTTACATGATCAGTCCTTGTCTTCTGCAGTTTTAAGTCTCAGCTAGTAAATGTTTTGTTAGCCATCTCCAAAACTCACTTCTCCATTGTTAATAGAAATCGGTCTCTCATTAAATGTGAATATGTATTTCAGACACCTGTGATATGTTTTGCCTCTCAATGCAAAAGCTACCTACCTATCATCAATTTTGTACATGCAAGGAGCAAATATAGACGCCTTCTGCTTTTCTTCTTCATTACCACCCATGTTTTTGTGACTGTATACACATGCGTGAATTCCTGTAGTTCTGTTTTAAAGGCAGCTGCTGACATAAATGTTTAAGTAAAAACAGCCCGAGCTTATTTATCAGGAGTTGGGGCTTTTTTAGCTAATTTTTATATCAAGAAAGAGGGAAATAATGTGTTAATAACTTCTATTTTTAAAAGTAAGTTCTGTATTCTTTTAATTTGCTTCTGCTTATAGAAAAAACATGGACCCATTTGCCAAAAAACTTCAGCCAAGAAAAGGAAGACATTCGATTCCAGCCGACAGAGAGCAGAAGGAACTGACATTCCCACAGTAAAACCTCTTAAGCCACGGGTATGTTATAATTTACTCTGATTTTGAGCATTTTAGGCTTACTATATATGAACTTTAATAACGCTTATTTCTGCTGGAAATTCGTGTTAATTAGACCAACTAAAATTTGGAAGAAATCTATGATGTTATGTGCTAAAATAAGGTGCATACTTAGTTTCAAATAAAAGCTTCAGATATACAGAACTTTCTTTTTTGCCTCTTAGCCAGAACCACCCAAAAAACCTTCTAACTGGAGACGAAAGCATGAGGAATTTATAGCAACTATACGAGCAGCCAAAGGACTTAATCTTAAAGATGGTGGAAAACTCCCTCCACCACCTCCACCATCATATGACCCTGGTATGTAAAACAGTCAAGTTCCTTAGAGACTTTGAGTTAATATGTAGAAATTTGAATTGAAAAGGAATTTGTTGGAATACAGAATTCACAAGTTCCTGAAGATGACTTATTATCCCGGTGCAGATTCTGGGTTGTTACTTTGTGTCTGGTTGGCTCACAATCTGTGTAGCTTTGTTTTTAACGTGTTGAAAGATAGCTGAGGCCAACTCGCAGCCTGCTACTGCGTTGTAAACCATAGGCTGGTCAAGTTGTTTTAATGCCCTGTTTGTGCTCACAGCAGTGGAACTGCTCAGAAATAGCAAGCTGCCTTTTTGATTGGCTGTGACCCACAACATATTTACGTAGTGGGAATGCACTTTTGTGTTTTTCAAATGTAACCTCTCCCATTTCTTGCTGAATTCATATTTGTTTTCATGTATTGCAGTGTATGCCTTAATGCTTCATGTAGTTTGGTTTTACGTATGTGAGATGTGTGGAGTTTGTATTATTAGCATGACCTTTGGTACCTTCAAACTGAGACTGGATAAAGTGTTCAAGCAGTCTGATGTGAATGAGAAGGAAATACACTTTTCATTTAACTTCTGGGATATGGTCATAGATTGAAAAATATATTTCTTCCTCTTGTCCTAAGAGCTAAACCATTTGATTAGCTCATTGGCTTTTTTTTTCAGAAAGATTGGGAAAAAACATGTGTTTGCTTCTGTCTGTCTATGGTCAAGTGAGGATATGAGGTGTTTCCTACCCTGTTTCTTTACAGAAGATGTGTTAGTTCAGTATTAGGATTGTAATTATGCATTCACTCTAAGAGGCCGTATTATGTAGCATTCTGTACTCACAATCTTGAAAGGCCATATAGCTAATTTTAAAAAGTAAAACCATCTTAAAGCCAATAGCAAATGCTGTGGATAAGAATCACAAGGATTGATCATGAAAAGAATAATTAATAATCTATATAGCATAACTATAATCTACCTAGTTTTAGTATCCTGGCTTCTTCTGCTGCAGTGGGTAGGACTTAGGAAGAGGAAACCAGGAATGAAGAGACCGTGCACAAAATGATCAGTGGATACTCTTCTCACAAATAGAGCAGGAGCAGCTACTTATGCTCCTTTTCCACTTTTCATGTAGGATTGTGAATGTACCATGAGTGTATCCTCTCCTACTCAGCTCTGTCTTGGGCATGCTTGTTTCTAACAAACAGCGAGTCTTTTTCCTTTTAATGGAAAGAGTCTCATATTTATATTTTCTACTTAACTGCTCTGAGCTGGCAAATGACCAGTATTGCTGCTTCTTCCATCTCCTCTTCCACTTTTTCTGAGGAAGTGCAGAATAGCCTCAGGTTAAAAAGGACTTTAAATCACCCTGAACTTGACTGCGTAGGTGTACTGCCCTCTTATTTTGATTAGTTTTTGTTTTATAAAGCTTACATTGAATCCTAGAAATTCTTCCGGACAGTATGAACAGTACTTTCAGATAGGCAAGTGTTTGACTGGTAGTATGTGTTTTACAGAAGGATGAAGATACAATTTCTGGTTCTTAATGGTATACATTCATCCTCTCAAATACATTTGTGGGCTTTGAAAGTTTTCTGTGGGAAGTGAACTCTGCACCAGCTGAAATGGCCTATTATCTAGAAGCTTTCACAGCTGCTTTATTTATTTATTTTATTTTTTTTTTTTACTTTCTTTTATTTTTTTTTTTTACTTTCTTTGGAATAATTTTGGTTTGACAACATAGCTATTGCATTTTTTTTTTTCTGATTTTTTTGTCTCTTAAGGTGTAGTTGATGTTCAAGTGTTCTCATGGCATCAGAGCATATGTAAAATAAATAAAACTTTGTTATACCCATGAGATTCCCATGCTGTCACTTCTCTGTGTTTTTCCTCTGTCCTTAGCTCACACTTCTTGGGTCACAGTTCATGGTTTGGTGGCCATTACATAATTCAGCTTACTCAAAACTGTTCCTCTGTCCTTAGCTCACACTTCTTGGGTCACAGTTCATGGTTTGGTGGCCATTACATAATTCAGCTTACTCAAAACTGTTTATAAACATTCAAAGATACAACTATTTAAGCCAAATCTACTGCATTTGGACTAGTAACATGTAATCCAGAACTTATTTTAGATTTTGTAATATTTATTGTAATTTTGGAGGCAGTGACTGTTGAATTTCATCTCATTTTCTTCAATACATTTCTAATATGACCTAGAAACACACTAATTTATCCTGCTTTGCTAGTGTCAGGCTTTTTTTAAGTTGATGCTTACATGGTTTTGAATGCTCTAATCTGGGGCATACAGCATTAATATCTCTAGAAAGTGAAATACCCAGTTGTCTGAAACTGCAGTGCAAACATACAATTTTCCAAGGGTACTGTATTTTAAGGTGTGTATTTCCAGTATACAGATGATGTATCTTTTAATATTTTAAGCATTTATATAGCACTTTCAGTTTTTTCCCCGATGAGAATAATATTTCCTGTATGTAATACTGTTTGCAATGTGAGTAAATTAATCTTGCAAAAGTAAGATGGCCAACAGTTACTTGATAGCTCCTTATTTTCGCTGTTTTTCTTTTGATTCTTTTTATTTGTTAAATTTCTGATTTTTTTTAATAATGATCACTCCTAGTATTGCAGTTAGAATTTTCATTTCATTCAAAATTGCCAGAGGAAACAGATTTGTTGTCTTTTGTAGCTTGTGTGGGAAAGGTTTTAATGTATCCCCATATCTTGAACAAACTGAACTGTTAGTGATTTTTTTAAAATTTTTGATTGTTTCTTTGTTTAGCTACTTCTCCACTTCCTTCCAGCTGATCTCTCTGCCATGCCCTTGTACTTCTTTGGCTACCTTCTCTGCAAGAATAGCATCTTTTAAAGTTTCTGATTTTTGCTTAGTTTATTTCCAATCCTCAGCTACTGTTACCCATCAAATGAGAATATGCTTTGACCTAGCAATCTATATTTTATTTTCAGATTCAAGAAGCCATAATTTCCCCTGGAGGAGAGCCTGGTCTTAAAGACTTTAAAACACTCTCATTTTTAAAACAGATTATTAATGTTAAATATTTATGTTTTTTTAAGATTACATTCAGTGTCCATACTGTCAGAGGAGATTTAATGAAAATGCAGCTGACAGACACATCAATTTCTGTAAGGAGCAAGCTGCACGTATTACTAATAAGGGGAAATTGGCAGCCGATACCAAAGGGAAGCTTCCTACTCGAACACAGGTGAGCTGTAACACTTTTGTTAACCTGTAACTTGCATTCAATGTCAAGTCAAGCTTGTTAAATAGTGTGTGGCTTTTAAAAGAAGTTAACTATTTTATTATATGTGTAATTTTATTACTTGCACTGACTGAAATTAACACTAGGCATGGATGAGGCTTTTTTTGCTTTCTTAAACTGCAGAGATCCATTAGTGAAATGGCAATAGCTGCAAAATCAAAACCAGTCATGAATGTAATGTAGAAATGTGCAAATGACGTGTAAAGATAGCAGGAGGAAATAGAGATGCAGTTTTTGTAAAGGAAATTGAATTTCTGTTGTGCTGAATTTCTAAATCCACTTAGAGACTTACTTAAGGGGCAAACAGGTACCTGACTACAGGACAACTGACAGCAGAATTGTGGCTAATTAGAGGCTTGAGTGGGATTCAGGGGTATTACACAGTATTTTGAATCAGTGCAGGGACTGGTCCAGACAGTACAGATGAAAGTAAGATTGGATTTGAAAGACAAAAATAATTCTGCCTTTGAGTATTCTCTTTTAAATTAATTGGTAATGAGGTGATACTTTTAATCTTAACTTTAGCTTCATTCCAGCTATGGAAAAAATTGATAAAAGCTTTAGAAAAAAAATGTAGAAAGACATACAGTTGAACACCAAAGCTCTACTAGGTTAGAGAATGTTTCCTGCTAGTATCATCTGTAAGTGTTAGAAAACAGACTATCAGAAACCATTTGCATGTTCCCATACCAGAAACAGGTTACCTAGTAAAAAATCGTCTGTTCTCCCACAGTACCTGAAGGAACTACCTGTTGTGTTATAGAGATGGCTTCATTTAATTGCTTAAATTCCTAGGTTGTATTTTGTTACAGTACAAACCTGCTCCAGTTAAGAAGATGCCTTCTGTAGGATCAACACCATCACCATCATCACGCTTACCACAGCCAAGTGGTGTCAGCAAAACTGTTGTAGGTATGAAATGAATGTTATGAATTATTCCATGTCTTTTCTAAATAACAGTTCTCAAACTACGCATCATTCTGCAAACTACGTTTATTTGATATAGTGTTTTGCAAAATCTTGTTTAAAATAAATTTGGAAAGGGCACTCTAATTTGCCCTCATCTGCCTTGACGATTTAGGATTCTGGTTTATATGTCAGGCCAGTTCTTTTTTTTTTCCTGAATTGAATATGAAAAAATTATTTGGTGTAGTAATGGTTGATTGTATCGAATACTGATCTCTCACCTGAAATTTATCTAATGCTTAATTTTAATTTGTCTGCTGAATATGATCATAAATTGATGAAAATACATAGTCAGGGCATGTATATTGTAATTATGAAACAGTGCTCTAATTGGGTTTCAGATATCGATATCAAACATCTTCTGTCTGTACATACTTCAACATTTTTTTCCCTTTTTTTCTGAGCAAAGAAATTGAGATACAGTATGTTTTCTTAGAATAAAACACTATGTGTCAATTACATATTTTCTATACATTTTTGAAATATATTGTCTTTTTTGTATTATCTTGATACTGGCTCATATCTTTATTTCTAAAACTCTTTTTTTGAATTTTGCAATTAATTTCTTTTTAATAAATTGTATCATTTCAGCAGCAAAATCTTATATTTTCTTATATTTTCATACTTGCTTTTCAACTGCAAGGTGCCTCTTCAGGTAAAGCACTGTCTTCGTCTGGATCCAGTGGGAGCAAAATTCAGACATTATCACCAGCTCATAAAAACTCTCTGGGAACAGTGAACCCACAAACAGGGTGAGTTCAATCTAATGTTGTCATTTGTGCTTTATTTCATATTTATGTTATTCTAGTTCTAGAAGTCTCTGTGGTTTGTTTCACTGGCTTTTATTTTTTTTTCCTATGAGCTTCAGAAATACAGTGTTTTGTATTTATCCTTTATCTGTAAATATAGCTAATGTTTAAAAAACATTGGAGAAGGCAAAGTTTTATCAAGTTGATTTAACAACAAAGGAGGTCAAGAGATGAAAATAAAATATATCAAAAGTTACAGCATAGGCAGAATGGTTGGAGCAATTAAATTTTTCTTGGTAAAAGCGAAGGGTCTTAAAAAAAGCAGAAAACATTAGGCATCATTTCCTGCACTTCACAGAAATGGAATAAAGAGGCTTCTGCCTACAAGGCTATTGTGACAGGATTTCTCTCTTAGCACAAAAGGATGGAAGCTTTCTCTCTTGCTTTTCCTGTCTTAAGAGACAACAAATGAATGAGCACAAATAAGACAAAACCAGCGCACTTAACAATAGCAAGGACTGCTACATGAAGATTATTGGAGTTCAGTGTAAGTGCTGGTGTCATCAAGGCTGTGACTCATGCTTTACTGGAGGGGTAGACATTTCACAGAATCTCATAGAGAAATCTGTGGAAAGGATTGAAGAAAAGTAGTGCAATTCTACAGAAGTTTGAGGAGCACCAAGGAGCATTGAGAACACAAAAGATAAAAGGAAGTGATTGCAATTATAACATTAGTGATTGAAAAATATTTATTCCTATAAAAATGAGTATCTGATTGGTGAAGACAGTATAATGTGAAAACAAAAAACCAATGTCTTAAGTTCATGAGAAGAAAAGGATATTCTGAAAACTTATGGTGTTGGATAGGAATTACATAGAACTAGAGATTTTTAGTTTACCTCACCCCTCTCCTGGTGACTCTTTGGTCAGCTTCACTACTGTTTGTAGGCATCTATGCTGTGACTGTCTGAAAATCACAGCCCCTTGTTCACTGACTTTATTTATTTATCCGTTTTTAGGAGTTGAATTAACACCTACTGATGAGTAGCAAACAAGCAGGTCTCCAAGCCACAGTAAAAAAGTTAGCTGACATAATTTGAAGGCATGTTTCTGAGTCCAGTAGTGTAACTCAGATATCTGGGAAAGTTTTTTTCCTGTTGGAGGTTCCTAACTGAAGTCTGTGTTCAGACAGAGGATGCAGCAATTTTGATTTTCACTTGTTAACAAAGTAGTTCTATTTAATTTTACCTGTCAGTTGCTGTTGCAATAATCATATGAAATCTTGTAGAAAATAAACCCCTTGTGTTCCAGCTATTTCTCAGAAATCAGAGGGGCTGGGTGCAGCTTGACTTAATTTTTGTTTATAACCATTAGGCACTATGGCTGGTTATGTTCAATAAGAACATTTACAATTCCAGTTTCACAAATAATGTAGTTTATTGAAGGAGCAGATCATTGACTCTTAGATTGCAGGTGATAAATGCAGTAGATCTACAAAATGTAAGTGTACAGTGCTATGTATAACTGTTCCCAGCTCTACTCTTGGTGGAGCTGGAGGCGTAAATCTTACCAAAGAGTCATCCCTGCTTTGGGGAAGGGAGAGAGGAGCAAGCCCGTTATCTATGAAGTAAGGTCATGTTCTCATACTCTAAAAATGGAGGATTTCAAATACCAATTTTAGACTTTTTGGAAAAGTGGAGGTATAACTATAGTCAAATATAATTGCTTACCAGTTGCTGTGGTCCTAGTTGGTGAAGAAGCAGCATATTTTTTTCTCATTTTCATATTGGTGGTTGCTTTTTTCAATATATTAAATATATTTGGATACCTCTGGCTGAATTGGTTGTAACAAGGGCAACACAGATCCCTAATAATTCAGTATTGTCCTCCACCCAGGTAAGGGAGCAGTGAAGTCCACCTGACATTACTCCTGTCAGCACGTTACAACCTCACATCATTATCTTCCCAAAGGAACAGATTTGTAACAGAGGCTGGTTGTGCATGGATAAGGTGGAGTGAGGCTGGTACTGAGGCCTGGGTGTACTCCTGTGCTGAGAGTGAGACACCACTGAGACTCAAAGAGACACTTCACTGAGACACCATTGGGCTGTGGGACCTCTGCCTCACCCCAGGCATCATTCAGTTGTTAAGCCTTGCTCCAGCCTAGTGCAGGATAAGCAAGTGGCTTAGCTCACATTTTTTTCTCAAACAGCCTCATGAATTCTCCACAAATTAACAGCATCTCTGTATCTTGACATAATATGCCTGGCAAATTTGCAGAGTTGCTTACTGGACTTTGTTTTCGGTAGTTTTCCATTTTGCTCCTCTGTTGCTTGGAGAATGAATATGATGAATCCAAATAGCAGCTGGGGACATGTTTGCCCAGGTTCTCTCTGTTTATGCATTCTGCTAAGCACAAATACATGGTTTCTGGTTGGCACAGCTCTCAGATAATGATCTCTGCTGAAAGGCAGTAAATGTTAGCTTGGCTTATGACCTTAATTGCCTGCACGATTTCCAGATTTTTAGAGTATGCGTGTGATGAGCATGTTTCTGCCTGCAGTCTTTCTCATTGCTATTAGATACTTGTTTTCTTCTGTTTTCCAACTAGCCCTGATGGTATTTGCTGCTCATGCTAACCAGTCTTCCACAGGTGCAATGTGTGTTGTTCCTGTGTGTTATATCTGTGACCTGGCTTTTTTTTTTTCAGCTTCGTTGCATTCCCTTCTGGGGACAGATTTGTCAGGAGCTGTATTGAAGCAAAGAGGTGTAGGAGCCAGTTACATCATGGAAAAGTTAGGTTCCTCAGATTGGTCACTGGTGACAAGTTTGGCTGTAATCATCTCAACTTCTGCCTTAGTATTGGGGCATGAGGGGGAAATAGATTGGGTTCTGTGGAAATACCTAGGAAATGATACCAAAGCAGGGACTGAGACTCTTATAGTCAATGTCCTACATGAGAGTGAAAATAATTAGTACTTCAGTGACAGATTTTAAACATTAAAGCATCTTATAATTTATGCTATAGATAAATGCAACTGGAATTACTTTTTAAAATAGAAGAACTTTAGAACATTACCCTTTTAGTAGGATTAAACATGATTTATTTATTTTACTACACTTATGATTTAACCAGTAGAATGACAAGCCTTAGTGTGAGAACTGGGGTTCTGTTCTACAGAATTCAGAGCTTATGCTGAAAGATAAGATGTTATGCTCTTCTGAGTTGTTAGTAAAACAATTTTCTCAGGAGTGTTGTGTGGGGGTAGTTTAAAGGGCAGTCTTTCAAAGTGAATGTTAAGCAATCACTTTTTCTTTTCTCCTTGACAAATATTAAAGAGCCTACACACTTTTGACCAGGTTAAATTCCACGTTTTGCGGTAGGAAAGAAGTTTCTGCCATTTGCACTAAGAGAAACTGTAACCGGAGGTTTTTTAGGTATTACTTCAGTATGTAACCTTCTATCTTTGCTTAGATTGTTGTAATTCTGGATTTTCCAGAAGCGTAATAGAAGGGAGGCTTCATAGTAGAATTACAATTAGATTGTGCCGTATGAAGGACGAATTAATTCTCTGTACGAGGTGATGGGCCACCTTTGCCTGCCGTGGTCGCTGCGGGGCAGGGGCCGGTGAGGGGACGCCGTGCAGAGCGCGCAGTG